GGGGCGGGCGGCCTCCCTTCCAGGGTGCGGGGTCTCCCCCCCGCCCGCCCTCCCCCGCCCTCCCCCCCCCTCCTGGGCCTAGTGGGCAGACACCAAAAGACAACTTAACCAAAATGGGGCGTTGGTTCCCACCCCTCCCCGCCCCCCTCCCCCACCCTCCCCCCCTCCCTCCCCCTCCCCACCCGGTGCCTCCTCCGGAGGGTGGCACGAGTCTCACGGGGGGTAGTGGGCAGACACCAAAAAACAATCCTCAACTAAAATGGGGTGTGGGGCTCCCCCGCACCCCTCCCCACCCTCCCCCCCCACCCGGTGCCCCCTCCGGAGGGTCCCCCCCCTCCCTCCCCCCCTTCCCTCCCCCGCTCCCTTCCCTCCCCCTCGCTCTGCCCCTCCCACCCCCCCGCCCAAACCCGCTCACCTGACCGCAACCAGCGTGGAGTGCCAGGTGCGTATCCTCAAGAAGAAAAAGGCCGGGAGCGGGAACGAAGCTGTGCAGGCTCGCCTGCATGGTGTCCCAGGTACGTGGTCCCAACCCCAAGAAGACCGAAGTGAGGAGGTGAGCGCTGATTATCCTCACCCAATGTGGGGTCCCAGGTGCGTGGTCTCAGTCGAAGAAGGCGGAGGCAGGGACGAGGCCGGAGCACTTATCCTCACCCAATATGGGGTCCCAGGTGCGTGGTCTCAGCCCGAAGAAGGCGACGAGGCCGGAGCGCTTTTCCTCAATATGTTCCAGGCGCGTGCTCGGAGGCGGGAGCGCTTATCCTCAACCAATATGGGGTCCCAGGTGCGTGCTCTCGCGGACCAGTCCGGCGCAATATGGGGTTCCAGGCGCGTGGTCTCAGCCCGAAGAAGGCGGAGGCGGGGACGAGGCCGGAGCTGGGGTCCCAGGTGCGTGCTCGGCAGGGCCGAGGCCGGAGCGCTTATCCTCAACCAATAAGGGGTCCCAGGTGCGAAAGCGGAGGCGGGGACGAGGCCGGAGCGCTTATCCTCGACCAACGTGGAGTCCCAGGTACGCGATCTCGGCCCGAAGAAGGTGAAGGTGGGGACGAGGGCGGAGCACTTATCCTCAACCGATATGGGGTCCTAGGTGCGTGCCCTACCGCAGCGTGCATCAGTGCCAGGTGCTTGAAGCCAGAAGAAGGCGAGCTTCAAGAGGAGGCGACAACAAGCTCGAAGGACTTACTCTCAGAATACGTTCTCGGCGCGTGGTCTCAACCTGAAGAAGACAGAGGCGGCGACAAGGCCGGATCGCATATCCTCAACTGTCATGGGTTCCCAGGTTCGTGGTCTGGAGAGAACAGAAGCCGAGACCAGGCCGGAGTGCCTATCCTCAATCAATATGGGGTCCCAGGTGCGCGGTCTCAACTTGAAGAGGATGGAGGCGGGAACCAGGCCGGCGCACTTCTCCTCAACCAATATCGGGTCCGAGGTGCGTGGTCTCAACTCGAACAGGACGGAGGCGAGGAGAGGCCGGAGTGCCTATCCTCAACCAAGATAGGGTCCCAGGTGCATGGTTTCATCTTGGAGAAAAGAGAAAGGACGAGGCATCAACCAATATGAGGTCCGAGGTGCGTGACCCCAGCAAAAAGACGACGGAGGCAAGGACAAGGCCGGGGTTCGAAGTGCGTGGCCCCAGGAAGCTCAAGCTGAAGAAGACAGAGGTAAGAACGAGGCCGGGAGGGCTTATCCGCAACCAATATAAGTTTCCGAGGCAAGGACAAGGCCGGGAGGGCCCATCCTCAACCAACATGGGGTTCCGAGGTGTGGAAGTTCAAGCTGAAGAAGACACAGGTAGGGACAAGGCCGGGGGGGGGCCCATCCTCAACCAGTATGGGTTTCCGAGGCGTGGAAGCTCAAGCTGAAGAAGGGCAAGGACAAGGCCGGGAGGGTGTATCATCAACCAATATGGGTTTCCAAGACGTGGGGTCTCAAGCTGCAGAAGCGCAAGGACAAGGCCGGGAGGGTTTATCCTCAACTAGTACGGGTTTCCGAGGCGTGGAAGCTCACAAGTCGAAGAAGACAGAGGCAAGGATAAGGCCGGGAGGGTTTATACTCAACCGATGTGGGTTTCCGGGGTATGGAAGCTCCAGCCGAAGAAGACAGGGGCAGAGACAAGGCGGGAAGGCTTATCCTCAACCGGTATGGGGTTCCGAGGTGTGGAAGCTCAAGCCGAAGAAGACAGAGGCAAGGACAATCCAAGGTATGGAAGCTTGAGCCTCAACCAATGTGGTTGCCGAGATTTGTGGTCTCAGAGAGAACAATCCTCAACTAAAATGGGGTGTGGGGTCTTCCCCCCGCCCCCCCTCCCCCTGAGCGCCCTCCCCCTCCTCCTGGGGCGGGAGGGTATTGGGCAGACACCAAAAAACAATCCTCAACTGAAATGGGGTGTTGGTTCCCACCCTCCCCCCTTCCCTCCCCCTCCCCACCCGGTGCCTCCTCCGGGGGGGTGGCACGAGTCTCACGGGGGGTAGTGGGCAGACACCAAAAAACAATCCTCAACTAAAATGGGGTGTGGTCCCCTTCCCCCGCCTCCCCCCCACCCGGTGCCCCCTCCGGAGGGTCCCCCCGCTCCCTCCCCCCCTTCCCTCCCTCCCCTTCCCTCCCCCGAACCCCGCACCGCAAGGCAGTGACCTCCCCACCCTCCTCCCCTCCCAACCCGCTCACTTAGACCGCAACCAGCGTGGAGTGCCAGGTGCGTATCCTCAAGAAGAAGAAGGCCGGGAGCGGGAACGAAGCCGTGCAGGCTCGCCCCCAGGTACGTGGTCCCAACCCCAAGAGACCGAAGTGAGAGGTGAGCGCTGATTATCCTCAACCAATGTGGGGTTCCAGGTGCGTGGTCTCAGTCGAAGAAGGCGGAGGCAGGGACGAGGCCGGAGCACTCATCCTCAACCAATATGGGGTCCCAGGTGCGTGGTCTCAGCCCGAAGAAGGCGACGAGGCCGGAGCGCTTTTCCTCAACCAATATGTTCCAGGCGCGTGCTCGGAGGCGGGAGCGCGTATCCTCAACCAATATGGGGTCCCAGGTGCGTGCTCTCGCGGACCAGGCCGGCGCAATATGGGGTTCCAGGCGCGTGGTCTCAGCCCGAAGAAGGCGGAGGCGGGGACGAGGCCGGAGCTGGGGTCCCAGGTGCGTGCTCGGCAGGGACGAGGCCGGAGCGCTTATCTCAACCAATATGGGGTCCCAGGTGCGAAAGCGGAGGCGGGGACGAGGCCGGAGCGCTTATCCTCGACCAACGTGGAGTCCCAGGTACGCGATCTCGGCACGAAGAAGGTGAAGGTGGGGACGAGGGCGGAGCACTTATCCTCAACCGATATGGGCTCCTAGGTGCGTGCCCTACCGCAGCGTGCATCAGTGCCAGGTGCTTGAAGCCAGAAGAAGGCGAGCTTCAAGAGGAGGCGACAACAAGCTCGAAGGACTTACTCTCAGAATACGTTCTCGGCGCGTGGTCTCAACCTGAAGAAGACGGAGGCGGCGACAAGGCCGGATCGCCTATCCTCAACTGTCATGGGTTCCCAGGTTCGTGGTCTGGAGAGAACAGAAGCCGAGACCAGGCCGGAGTGCCTATCCTCAATCAATATTGGGTCCCAGGTGCGCGGTCTCAACTTGAAGAGGATGGAGGCGGGAACCAGGCCGGAGCACTTCTCCTCAACCAATATCGGGTCCGAGGTGCGTGGTCTCACCTCGAACAGGACGGAGGCGAGGAGAGGCCGGAGTGCCTATCCTCAACCAAGATAGGGTCCCAGGTGCATGGTTTCATCTTGGAGAAAAGAGAAAGGACGAGGCCTCAACCAATATGAGGTCCGAGGTGCGTGACCCCAGCAAAAAGACGACGGAGGCAAGGACAAGGCCGGGGTTCGAAGTGCGTGGCCCCAGGAAGCGCAAGCTGAAGAAGACAGAGGTAAGAACGAGGCCGGGAGGGCTTATCCTCAACCAATATAAGTTTCCGAGGCAAGGACAAGGCCGGGAGGGCCCATCCTCAACCAACATGGGGTTCCGAGGTGTGGAAGTTCAAGCTGAAGAAGACAGAGGTAGGGACAAGGCCCGGGGGGGGGGCCATCCTCAACCAATATAGGTTTCCGAGGCGTGGAAGCTCAAGATGAAGAAGGGCAAGGACAAGGCCGGGAGGGTTTATCATCAACCAATATGGGTTTCCAAGTCGTGGGGTCTCAAGCTGCAGAAGCGCAACGACAAGGCCGGGAGGGTTTATCCTCAACTAGTACGGGTTTCCGAGGCGTGGAAGCTCACAAGTCGAAGAAGACAGAGGCAAGGATAAGGCCGGGAGGGTTTATACTCAACCGATGTGGGTTGCCGGGGTATGGAAGCTCCAGCCGAAGAAGACAGAGGCAGAGACAAGGCGGGAAGGCTTATCCTCAACCGGTATGGGGTTCCGAGGTGTGGAAGCTCAAGCCGAAGAAGACAGAGGCAAGGACAATCCAAGGTATGGAAGCTTGAGCCTCAACCAATGTGGTTGCCGAGGTGTGTGGTCTCAGCGACAAGGCCGGAGCGCTTATCCTCAACCAATAAGGGGTCCCAGGTGCGAAAGCGGAGGCGGGGACGAGGCCGGAGCGCTTATCCTCGACCAACGTGGAGTCCCAGGTACGCGATCTCGGCCCGAAGAAGGTGAAGGTGGGGACGAGGGCGGAGCACTTATCCTCAACCGATATGGGCTCCTAGGTGCGTGCCCTACCGCAGCGTGCATCAGTGCCAGGTGCTTGAAGCCAGAAGAAGGCGAGCTTCAAGAGGAGGCGACAACAAGCTCGAAGGACTTACTCTCAGAATACGTTCTCGGCGCGTGGTCTCAACCTGAAGAAGACAGAGGCGGCGACAAGGCCGGATCGCCTATCCTCAACTGTCATGGGTTCCCAGGTTCGTGGTCTGGAGAGAACAGAAGCCGAGACCAGGCCGGAGTGCCTATCCTCAATCAATATGGGGTCCCAGGTGCGCGGTCTCAACTTGAAGAGGATGGAGGCGGGAACCAGGCCGGAGCACTTCTCCTCAACCAATATCGGGTCCGAGGTGCGTGGTCTCAACTCGAACAGGACGGAGGCGAGGAGAGGCCGGAGTGCCTATCCTCAACCAAGATAGGGTCCCAGGTGCATGGTTTCATCTTGGAGAAAAGAGAAAGGACGAGGCCTCAACCAATATGAGGTCCGAGGTGCGTGACCCCAGCAAAAAGACGACGGAGGCAAGGACAAGGCCGGGGTTCGAAGTGCGTGGCCCCAGGAAGCTCAAGCTGAAGAAGACAGAGGTAAGAACGAGGCCGGGAGGGCTTATCCTCAACCAATATAAGTTTCCGAGGCAAGGACAAGGCCGGGAGGGCCCATCCTCAACCAACATGGGGTTCCGAGGTGTGGAAGTTCAAGCTGAAGAAGACACAGGTAGGGACAAGGCCGGGGGGGGGCTCATCCTCAACCAGTATGGGTTTCCGAGGCGTGGAAGCTCAAGCTGAAGAAGGGCAAGGACAAGGCCGGGAGGGTGTATCATCAACCAATATGGGTTTCCAAGACGTGGGGTCTCAAGCTGCAGAAGCGCAACGACAAGGCCGGGAGGGTTTATCCTCAACTAGTACGGGTTTCCGAGGCGTGGAAGCTCACAAGTCGAAGAAGACAGAGGCAAGGATAAGGCCGGGAGGGTTTATACTCAACCGATGTGGGTTTCCGGGGTATGGAAGCTCCAGCCGAAGAAGACAGAGGCAGAGACAAGGCGGGAAGGCTTATCCTCAACCGGTATGGGGTTCCGAGGTGTGGAAGCTCAAGCCGAAGAAGACAGAGGCAAGGACAATCCAAGGTATGGAAGCTTGAGCCTCAACCAATGTGGTTGCCGAGGTGTGTGGTCTCAGCGACAAGGCCGAGAGAACAATCCTCAACTAAAATGGGGTGTGGGGTCTTCCCCCCGCCCCCCCTCCCCCTGAGCGCCCTCCCCCCTCCTCCTGGGGCGGGAGGGGTGGGCAGACACCAAAAAACAATCCTCAACTGAAATGGGGTGTTGGTTCCCACCCCTCCCCGGCCCCCTCCCCCACCCTCCCCCCTTCCCTCCCCCTCCCCACCCGGTGCCTCCTCCGGGGGGGTGGCACGAGTCTCACGGGGGGTAGTGGGCAGACACCAAAAAACAATCCTCAACTAAAATGGGCGCAAAGCAGTGACCTCCCCACCCTCCTCCCCTCCCAACCCGCTCACTTAGACCGCAACCAGCGTGGAGTGCCAGGTGCGTATCCTCAAGAAGAAGAAGGCCGGGAGCGGGAACGAAGCCGTGCAGGCTCGCCTGCATGGTGTCCCAGGTACGTGGGCCCAACCCCAAGAGACCGAAGTGAGGAGGTGAGCGCTGACGATCCTCAACCAATGTGGGGTTCCAGGTGCGTGGTCTCAGTCGAAGAAGGCGGAGGCAGGGACGAGGCCGGAGCACTCATCCTCAACCAATATGGGGTCCCAGGTGCGTGGTCTCAGCCCGAAGAAGGCGCTTATCCTCAACCAATATGTTCCAGGCGCGTGCTCGGAGGCGGGAGCGCTTATCCTCAACCAATATGGGGTCCCAGGTGCGTGCTCTCGCGGACCAGGCCGGCGCAATATGGTGTTCCAGGCGCGTGGTCTCAGCCCGAAGAAGGCGGAGGCGGGGACGAGGCCGGAGCTGGGGTCCCAGGTGCGTGCTCGGCAGGGACGAGGCCGGAGCGATTATCCTCAACCAATATGGGGTCCCAGGTGCGAAAGCGGAGGCGGGGACGAGGCCGGAGCGCTTATCCTCGCCCAACGTGGAGTCCCAGGTACGCGATCTCGGCCCGAAGAAGGTGAAGGTGGGGACGAGGGCGGAGCACTTATCCTCAACCGATATGGGGTCCTAGGTGCGCGCCCTACCGCAGCGTGCATCAGTGCCAGGTGCTTGAAGCCAGAAGAAGGCGAGCTTCAAGAGGAGGCGACAACAGGCTCGAAGGACTTACTCTCAGAATACGTTCTCGGCTCGTGGTCTCAACCTGAAGAAGACGGAGGCGGCGACAAGGCCGGATCGCCTATCCTCAACTGTCATGGGTTCCCAGGTTCGTGGTCTGGAGAGAACAGAAGCCGAGACCAGGCCGGAGTGCCTATCCTCAGTCAATATGGGGTCCCAGGTGCGCGGTCTCAACTTGAAGAGGATGGAGGCGGGAACCAGGCCGGAGCACTTGTCCTCAACCAATATCGGGTCCGAGGTGCGTGGTCTCAACTCGAACAGGACGGAGGCGAGGAGAGGCCGGAGTACCTATGCAAGGACAAGGCTGGAGGGCCCATCCTCAACCAACATGGGGTTCCGAGGTGCGGAAGTTCAAGCTGAAGAAGACACAGGTAGGGACACGGCCGGGGGGGGGGGCTCATCCTCAACCAGTATGGGTTTCCGAGGCGTGAAAGCTCAAGCTGAAGAAGACAGGGGCAGGGACAAGGCCGGGAGGGCTCATCCTCAACCAATATGGGGTTCCGAGGTGTGGAAGTTCAAGCTGAAGAAGACAGAGGCAGGGACAAGGGCGGGGGTGAGCCATCCTCAACCAATATGGGTTTCCGAGGCGTGGAAGCTCAAGCTGAAGAAGGGCAAGGACAAGGCCGGGAGGGTTTATCATCAACCAATATGGGTTTCCAAGACGTGGCGTCTCAAGCTGCAGAAGCGCAACGACAAGGCCGGGAGGGTTTATCCTCAACCAGTATGGGTTTCCGAGGTGTGGAAGCTCACAAGTCGAAGAAGACAGAGGCAAGGCCGGGAGGGCTTATCCTGAAACCA